ACCTCGACACCCGGCAGCACATGCTCCCCTAAACGGGACCGAACCGAGGAAGGCCAGCCACTTACATCGATCACCGAAGCCCCTTCAATGAACGAATATGGCCACTGAGCATACCCGCACCTTGTTAATTCTCGGGTGCATGCATCCTGATCAGGCGACCTTCGCTGAAGTGGGAGCAGGTGAACGTAAAAAGTCCACTTCAGGACTACTTGAAAAGCGCGATGTAGAGATTAGGTATTGCTCCCGCGGCCGAGCCGATGCGTTGCAACTTGCAGATATAGTGCGCAATGCGCATTTTATATCGCAGAGGGACTCGCCGCCCGTATTGGCATGCGTCGTCAGTGGCGCAGCCAGGATTTGGTTTCGGGGGGGTCATCGCCTCCAAAGCGGGCCCCCAACCATTTTTCAGAATCTTTCCATATTTCATACGCATTCTGCTGAGCGGGCCCCCTTTACCTATACGATAACCCTGAGCGAGTTTGAATCGGAAAATTTTGATAGAACAATAGCTCGGTAATCACCCGGTGTTCAATTTCTACGCGAATTGACCATGACAGAAATATGTTACTATGAGGTACGAATTCGTATCTTTCGAGGCCGAAATGTGCCCCTTCCGCAATATGCATAGCATATATGATAACGGAGCTGTTGCCTGCTTCTATCAAACAATATTTAAGTAGTCCCATGTGCCTGTCTAAGTCATCTATTGGCTGCTGTAGAAGATTGTGCCTTTATCCTTCTTCATTACGTAAATTCGATCACAAGAAGTTTTAACCCTCGCCGGCACAGGGGAAGGGTATGATGCAACCCCCTAAGGGTTTTCGTGAATAACTCGCGTAAAAAGCGGCCGATCGCGACAACACTTTCAGTACCCTCGCGTTGATCAGTTTTACACCTACCCTAGAAATTGCATGACCCTGACTCAAATGACCTTTCACATGTGACCTACTGAGACCATGTTTGGCCAGAATTACGATTCGGCGTCGGTATGCCGACTCGCATTAGCCGCGCGTTTGCAGTATTTTCGTGGTTTCAAGCGTTCAAACATGTGAGTTGATGCTGCTCCCATGCATTAGAGTGGGTGTCAAGGTCACCTGAAGGTCAGGTCAGGTCATTGACCTATGATGACCTCGGTACTTTTTCGAATTATACATGTTTCTAGGCTAGTTTTTGGAGCTGAATTCGAATTTAGCAACCATTTGAATATTCACGAAGTAGTTTTGGTGCCTTCGTAACATGTTACGAAGCTGCTAGAGGCGGCTGACACGTAGGTACTACAAATACCCGGCAGGACCCCTACTGGTTGACCTGACCTGACCTGACCCGACCTGACCTTAATGCATAAAGACATCATCTGTGATCAAAACTAACATGATAACTATTCGTGATCAGCACCCCGAAAAACCCTATAGCAGCCACACTTTACGACGTTCTAACAGCTCCCGATTTTCCCGATTTTTGGGTCATGGACCTGACCTGGAAGGTCAACCAATGACCAAGAACCTTAAAATTGAGTATCATCGGCTTACTCTCGTCACGGGCAACACGTTCGTTTTTTCCGCGAAGCTCTAGCTCGATCATGGGCCAAACGCGGGGGTCGTACCAACCTCCCCCTTGTGCCGTCGAAGGACGCAAAGTGGCTGGAATGGCCTGTGCCGACGAGGATTAACGCGCTCATATGGGACATGTATTGCCTTGGGCCGGGTTTGTTGTGGTGTGGTGATGTGGTGACGTAGATTCTGTCTGCTATCAAGGTCCCGGCATGGTGTTACTTAGCGCGGTGTACAGGCCAGACCGTTGCGCCTAGTGCGCTGAAATTTTCACGATTTATAGATCAAGGATGGGCAACGTGCCTTTGAGGGTCTCAGCTCGATCGGATCGATAGCGAGCACATGGCGCGTGCTTAAAAAGTGCAAATTCGCGTCATAGACTTTACAGTACATGTATAAATCGGCTTGCAAAATCGTGCGAAATTGGCTAAATTTGCCAGACACTGGTCCGATCCCCGTGCAGTATCTCGGTAACCGTGGGTCCGATCGGCACGGGGAACACAGTATCGTGTAGACTGTAGAGAATCGAACAGGCTATCGAATGGTGTGCGGTGCAGGGATGGCACGCGCCACGTGCACCCGTGAGGGCACTTATGTTGGAAAATTGACGTTTCGGACAGATTTGGGACTTAATGCTATTTTCGGGTGACTGTTTGACGGAGAGGGTTCTAACAACGCCTGTTGGCAAAAGAAATGCACAGCCTCGCATGGAAAAATTGTGAAAAGCTAATTGATCAAAAACAAGGTGGAACAAATCGCTGGAGAAAATGGTATTTGTTAATGACTTACTTAATTACACAGGTTTTACTGCATAACCTAGTACGTTTGACAAATGAAAATGGCATATTTGGAAAGAGCATTCAATTTTGTCCAAAATCCAACCATCGCTTTTGCATGACGAGCAGCAGTATTCTTAAAAATATAAATGTTTCAAACCTCTACATAGTAACTCATCGATGACTTTCATTTTTCAATAACCTTCGTCAGCCTTTGTTATAAACTACACATGACATGTTCTATAGTAGAACGCATGCTCATCACATCAGACACCAGCACCTCGATTCGATGGATATTTTTTCCCAAACCAAAATGCATAGCCGTCAAAAAGCAATCGACCGGAATGGATACATAGCCCACGGACACAAGACCAACCAAACGCCCACCGATCGAAAATACACCTTATTCGCGTTGCGGAGCAAGCGGGTCACCCTAGCGGGCCCCATTCAACCGCGGACCCGGGCCCTATCCACAAGGGGGCGCGGGCCCTATCCATATGGGGGCCCGGGCCACGTTCACCTTGGGCTCCGGGTCCCGTCCACCCGGGGCTCCGGGCCCCGTCTACCAGGGGACCCGGGTCCCATCAATCCGGGGGCCCGGGCCCCGTTCTCCCGGGGGCCACCCGGGGGTCCGGGCCCCGTCCACCCGGGGCCCGGGCCCGTTCTCCCGGGGGCCCGGACCCATCCACGGGGGCCCGGGCCCCATCCAACCGGGGTTCCGGGCCCCGTTCTCCCGGGCCCCGGACCCATCCACGGGGGCCGGGCCCTATCCACGGGGCCCGGGCCCCATCCACCCAGGGGGCCCGGGCCCGCTCTCCCAGGGGCCCGAGCCAGTTCTCCCGGGGACCCGGGCCCCATCCAACGGGGGGTCCGGGCCCCGTCCATCCGGGGCGCGTTCTCCCGGGGTCCCGGACCCATCCACGGGGGCCCGGGCCCCATCCACACAGGGGGCCCGGGCCCGTTCTCCCAGGGGCCCGGGCCAGTTCTCCCGGGGGCCCGGGCCCGTTCTCCGGGAGGCCCGGGCCCTTTCTCCCGGGGGCCGGGGCCCCATCCAACCGGGGGTCCGGGCCCCTCCACCCAGGGGGTCCGGGCCCGTTCTCCCAGGGGCCCGAGCCAGTTCTCCCGGGGGCCCGGGCCCCATCCAACCGGGGGTCCGGGCCCCGTCCACCCGGGGCCCGGGGTCCGTTCTCCCGGGGGCCCGGACCCATCCACGGGGGGGCCCGGGCCCCATCCACGGGGGGCCCGGGCCCCATGCACCCAGGGGGCCCGGGCCCCATCCACCCAAGGGGCCCGGGCCAGTTCTCTCGTCCGGTTAGATTAGGACCTCTCTCCTCCCTCTCTCTCTCTCTCTCTCTCTCTCTCTCTCTCTCTCTCTCTCTCTCTCTCTCTCTCTCTCTCTCTCTCTCTCTCTCTCTCTCTCTCTCTCTCTCTCGAGCGGGCCCCTGACAGAAATTTCGGGGGGGTCAGCTGACCCTCTGACCCCCCCCTGGCTGCGCCACTGTGCGTCGTGCACACCGTTTGCTTTAGTTTCAGCTATCGGGCTGGTAATTCGATAAGAGCGAGGACTATCACGGGTGTATGTATGTATGTATAGGCTACTGCACTAGTGCACTGGTGTGCGACAAACAGATGTGTTGGCTGAGTGTGCACGTCGGAACAAAACACCAGCCTTCTATCTGTAGAGACGGCGCCTTCTAACTACTGCTTGTGGATGCCATCCATTCGAGCAATGGTTATCTCGTGAATGAGCGACGGCTAACCAGTTACCTGGATCCGGAAAGGAGGGGACTCATCACTTACTGATCTGCGTCGGGGGACCATGAAGTGGGGAATCTGAGGCGTTCCGCTTAGAGCATAACTCAGCAGTTAAAATAGGTATGTGTTGCAATGTTGCAATATTGCATGTTGCGATGACAAAAACGCAGGACACGTGCAGTAATGGCAGCTCACGCTATGCACATCCACCGACAGAAAGATGCGACGAAGGAGGAAAATGCATAGTTCCCGCTAGACGGATAATATGGCAGGTGAATCGTCACAGTCAGGATGGCTACGTTTACGGTATATACGGTTGTTTAGACGGTTTTTCCACACATGGCACACGGGCTGACGAATCCAGGGCGAAACTGAAATGCCAATGGAAACCCGGATAAAGTGCGGCTGCGTTATGGCATGTGTTTATATTGATAGGTATTTGGCTGCATAATATATTATATTCTTTTTTTTCTTAAGCTGCACATCTTAAAACTGAGGTTTGATGAAGCTGAGGTCGCATTGCTAAACGATGCACAATCAGAACAGGATTCGGAATATATGGAATGAATCAAAACGCTTATTGAGGTTACGGTCTTGCAAAACATCGACGTCTTTTACGCCCAGAACGGCTGACTGGAGCTGTAGACTCGCCAAATTTGGCGTCTTTACGGAAAATAAATAACTCTGCGGTGCGGTTTTACAGTATCATTCACACAAAGTCGACAATACGGTGCCAGCGAGGGAATTTCATTCTTCGGACACGACCAAATCTGCACACAATGGGGGCGTCCGGCTCCTTTCAGCATCTACACAGCCTCTATTCCGTCTGCTCAGTGCTTGCCTTACATTGATCGGCTCCAAAGGTCCGGAAAGTTGACCTCAGAACGTGGTACTCTGGACCGAACGTGCGGAGACTCACCTGTTTTTCCGCTGTTTGGCCGTTCGGGTGAAGCGAGCCTGCAGCTCGTCCAGAGACGCTCGGCGAGACATGGCTGTGGTTTGTCTCCGCACCGTCTCTCGCTGATGTATTCGCGTCTCCCGTTCACCGTATCACGTCCGTCCGTCTGGCGACATCTCTCCTGAGGATGATCCGCCCTCCAACGCTTACTGCAGCAAACAGCACACCACCGGACGCAGCTGGACGCAGACGCACCACGCCAACCACAAACACGCAGCTGGTCCGACAGAGACACGCAGCTGGGTCAGCCGAGACGGACTGTCGGCTCGAACACCACCGGCGTCGCGCACACAATGAGTTTGAGTCAGACGTTATCGTCTAGAGGCGTGCTCGGGGCCGGCTATCTCGCCAAGGCGACCGGCTGGCACGATTTTTATCTGGACGCGCGACCCGACGACAGCTGCGGTGCGCTCTGGTTTGTTTTTCACAGAACTGGCTACGGTAAGGAACAGTACAAAGTCACACTGTTGCACAAGTTGTTCGCATTCGCTCGCCTTGAAGGCCTTCGAAAGGTTCAACACAGGCAGGCGAGGCTACTCAAACACTCATTCGTGTTTCCCTCCGATCGAGCACCTCTCAGGCACGGAACATTCGTATCGCTCACCGTTCACCACCACACAAAGCAAACAGCACACGCCACGAGGCTCGCGGTCGGAGCGAGCCGGACTGCACCGTCCCGACTCGTGGCTCTGTGTCCGGTATACTGCCGGCCGGCCGCCCGCCCGCACTACCCCACACCGACCGGGCGGGCGGCGGGCGGCAGGGAGGGAGGGAGGGCTGGCGTGGTGGCGCTCCGCGTCGGCTGTCTACCGCGTGACCACCTGTCGGCTGTGACGACTTGCAGCCACGATCGACACCCGCGCCCGGGAGCTGGACTGGTCCGGCACGGTGTCAGGTGTCACTGTGTCAGTGTCAGTGTGGAGGGGACGGAGAGGGTTAGGTTAGGGTAAGGGTTTAAGAGGTGAGTTAGGTCAGGTCAGCTCGGGTCGCAAGAGAGGATGCGGTTGACGGGAGCTCGGCAGGGCAGTTTGGTACAGATACTCGTAAGCTCGGAGTGCGCCATCAGGAGCTTTCACGGAGGGACCGAGAGGACTCGTATTTACAGGAAGTGCGGAGAGGAAACGTACCTACTAACGCAGCGTTCCGATCTAAGCCCAACTCTCGGTGTTGTTTCGTCAGCCGCGAGCCCCTCACGTTACACCAGCTCTCTCTCTCGACACTCGCCACGTGCTCACGTCCCGTGCCTCTCACTCGCATCACAAACACTTCCTCGTCTTGAGTCACCACACCTGTGCCAAGTCGCACACACCACCACACGCCCGCCGGGAGCACTCTGTCGTTTGGAGGCCCGGCTCACTAACCGTATTCTCTCAACTACGCTCCGACAAAACTTCTATCACGCCCCCGGAACAGAGTTTGGTATCAACTATCAATACTTATCATACGAACACCTGTCGAAATACACGCATGCATGCATACAGGTCGAGTCTGAGAGTCGGCCTTATCGGTGCGTGCCCCTTATCGCAGCTGCGAGACGCGCTGTATCGCACGGAACCCTTCCCCCAAACCCCTCCCCCACTCCCCGCATCTGGCTGGCTCGTCGCCCATCCTTCCCCTCTGCGCATCACCCAACATCCCTCGCCAAGATCATACGCGATCTCGGGTCAACGCAGCCGCACAGGCGTCGTATTTACGTTCCGGGAAACACCCCCGCACATGCCTTCCCGGCGTTGTCTGCCCCATTCCGCGCTCTGACAATACGGGAGGGCGGCATTGCGCACACATGCGGACAGGAAATGAGGTTATGGGTCGCGTTGATCATGAGAAGGGAGTGGTATCTACCGACAGGGGAGGGGTGTGCTCACGCGATAGGAATAACCGGCGACGATATGGCCACATGGGATGAGCCAATTGTCACGCACGGCACGTGAAACACACGGGCACGGAGAGTTTGGCGTGCTAACGTGACCCGGGGATAGCCACCATCGTTGCCCATTTTCGGGGAGGATAACCGGTAACGAGCAAATGCATGGACATCTGGAAAGCACGCAGTCGTGGCTGAGTTATTGTAATTATCAGTTTCAGCTTTGATTCGGACTACTGATGACAAAATGATTTCTTCGACACTCATTTTGCTGGGAACAAGGCCCGTTCGTTGGCTGGCCGTCCCACAAGATAATATCGAGTCGCCGACCATCACATTTCATGATTTCGCAGCATCGAGCGGTCGCGTACATTTTTCTGCGATCTCCTGGTGATAAAACGCTCTCCATCCTACATTCCAAAAAAGGACCGGTAGGATCATCACAATGTCGCCTGCCTTTAGAGCCAATAGATCACGGACCATTACCAGTCGAGCTTGTCTTTGAAGCGCCGGCATCTGGGCCCCGTTGCAGTCGGGCCGGCCGAGCCACACCTCTGTCACATGCGGCTTGTCTGGCACGGTGAGCCGTTAGCGCACGTCTGATGCTATCGGCAGGCTCTGTGACATAGGGACAGAGCAGACACGACCTCGTCCGGGGCCGGTGATAATGAGATGTAGCCGTATACGGCGGAACGCGACCGTCGTCATACGGGATAAACAGAGCGGACGCGCAACAGGTCTGGTTCCAGGCAGAACAAATGGGATGATGTTGCTGGTAATTAGAGCTAGGGATACTGGAAACATGCTTTCTAGCAGTCGGGAGAGCGCAACACTCGAGCCAGCGCGCAACGTGCATACATATGCACCTCACATGACGACGAAGCTTTCTTGTGCATGTCATCTAGAGTGTTTCCAGAGCCAACCGCACGAAACCAGTCCTCCAGCTGGCAAACCCTGGCACCAATGTTTGTCAAATACTCGGCACAATATCTGCAGAGTGCCGCTCACCCGACGCATACAAATTCGATAGTTCAAACAAACTACCAGAACCCATTGCTGTCGTCATCCTGCAAATATTCAGCCCCACACTGTGTCTATCACCTCAGGCAGTCTATTGTCACGTCTCGTGGCATTTACCGCTTTCCTCACAACTCCCAGCGAGGACCCGGCCCGGCGCTCTATGGAGTGTGCTGGGGGCCTGACCAGGGGACACGGCGCACCTGTGTTTACCACAGGTGCCCGTCAGACAGTACCCCTCCCGATAGACTCCCAGCGGGCCCGGACACTTGTGCGGCTCCTGGCACGGCGGCGCACTCTTCACCTAGCAGCGGGCTGATGACGCGACCCATTTAGCCCGTTCGAAGCATCAACACCTGTCGGCGAACCACTCCCCCACCCCGGCTGTCGGCTCTCCCCTTCCCCTCCCGCCCCAGTCGCGGTGGCGACTCTCCCTTCCCACCCCTACATCGGCTATTGGCTCTCCCCTAACCCCAGCCCACTGCGACTCTCGGCTTCCCCTAACCCTACCCCACTCGCGATGGTGGCTGCCGCTCCTTTCCTCCAAGATCCCGTCAGGGTGAACACCATTCACCTCTCTGTCTATATATTGGCCACGACCGTATACCGTGGGTTGGACGACAGACAATCGGTGCTCACTCAACTCACGCAGACCCATCGGGATCGATCCTGAGACGCTATGTACTGACTCACACCCACACTCACACACTGGACGCACAAGATACGGTACCCATTTGTTCACACGGCTGACAGGGGTCGGGAACCACCCAGCTAGCACAGACATTACGGAAACGGCTACGACGAGACTGCTCATACCGACTCATCATAAACAAACTCAAAATACAGCCCCGTGCGCCGGCGGCCGAGCTGCCCCGTGCGCCGCCGGGGCCTGCCGACTGCACCCACGCCGGGCCGACTATTGTGACCGTGTCGCTCCGCTATTAACACCACCGGCCACTGCTGTCCGCCCTCCGGCCGGGCGGCGAGTCCGTCCGACCCCGTACCCTGCGGTGGACGCCGACACGGGTCTGCGGCCGTCCAACCCGGGGGCCGGCGCGCTCACAGCCGGCGCTCCCTGCGCCCACCTTCCTGTATTGCTGGCGGGCGCCGCTCGACAGACTGACAGATTGACAGACTGAGACAGACAGATTGACAGACAGACATGTAGGGTGAGTGGTAGCGCGGCGCAGAGTCGCAGGAGCCGGAGCGTAGACGAAGACGCCGCGAAATAACGGCGAGAAATTGGCAGAAGGATGGTTCTGACTTTCTGAGTCGGACGCTGGCCGCCGGGCCCCATCGATATACAATATATACGACACAGATACGCACACATACGTATACATAAACATAGATATATCTACAAATCAGTACAAAATGGGAATGGTCTATACGACTGGCAACATTGTCGTTTCGCTGCTCAGGCCTCCGCTGCCGCCCGGCGCATGGGGCCGGCTGAGTTAGTCGGCGAAAATTCGAACTGCGGCCCGCCGCCGCCGCCGCCGTCAGCGCTGTATGGCAATAAATCACTAAACCACGGGGAGCAGACACAATTTACGTCGGCCGGGCGTTCGCAGCGCGGCGCTACCTCCTCGGAGCGGGCCGCAGCGCACTGACCTCAGTCCGCCGTGCCGCTCCAACCGAGCATTATGACCTGGTGAGTCGGCAACCTCAACTGCTGGGACGTGCCAACAGCCCTTCATACAGTCACTGGGATAAAACACAGTACCGGTAACGGCCAGTTAAAACAACACCTCACTGGGCTAGCCCTGTCGCGGCCAGCGCATGCCACTCGCACGTCTAGCTAGAATATTAGGAATGCTCGTTGGAGCCTGACCGGGAGCCACCTGACCCGGCGACAGGCTTGTTTTGGTGTTGCACCACACTGCGGGCCCACTGGTGATACCTCGTGTGGTGTTGGTCTATGCCAACTTCACCGGCGGTCACCCGATCAGTTACTGACCGAACGGAGAGCCCACCTGTTGGCCGCAGAGTCCCGGGAATACCCGTCACACCGGGCCTGTTCTCTGCCAAACGCTACTCCGCCACTCCCGTGGCTCCTCCAGTGATACCGCCGCCGGCTCAGACATTGTAGCGCTGCTCCGTTCCGTCCGACAGCAGCAGCGTGACCGTCTTGTTGGCCACCCAGACGAGACGCGACTGACGAGGCGGGTTCATCCGGACAATCTCCGGCAGAGGCGGAGTGCTGTACGTCTTCACACAGCGCGTCTGAGAGTGGCCCAGGCCGAACATACCCGCAGAGGTCTGATGGCACAAGCGGGGCACAGAACAGGAAGTTAGTGTACGAGTGGTAAGACGGAGCACGACAGCGGGCCAGCGACACATCAGATAAACGCGCTCGCCGAGCGTCAAAGCCGGTTTGCACACCGGTGCGTTATGAAAGACGTATGGGCGTACGGACATGGCGTCTTTGTATGATGGGAAGGGGGCTTCGATCGTGCATAGATGCCAAATACGATGGTAAATGCGACAGTCGGGCGCGCAGCGGCCTTTAAAGCCCAGACGGCCTTGCCGAGTCGCGGGGTAATCAGACAATGGTCGGAGGAAGGAAAGGCCAGGTCGAATCAAACAGAAGTCTTGCGACAGACGGAGGGCATCCATTTGGGTAATGGCACATCGCAAAGCCTCCGTAAGGCGTAAATAGATCCGGAATATTCGATAAATGGAAATGAAACGTTGAACCGGCTCCTACAGGGAAACAGTATCTTTTTTTTAAAGGTAAGTTTTTCGTAATCAGCAAAGTCGTGCGTGAAGACGGGCAATGGCGACTGGAACAAAATTGCGGTCT